TTTCCATATGACAGCTCTGCTATTTTTAATGCAAGTGGGGGCCTGATATTAGATGCAAATATAACATGAACTAGCTTTATGAAAGTTATTCCTCTTTTCTTGCCATTTTGTTCTGCAAGTAAATGAAAAACTGATTAAGCCATCTTTTACAAGCTCATCAGTTTTGCTTGGGATGTTTCTTCCAGCAAGTTTACTCAGAGTGCATGCTCATCTATGCTGAAGTGGAATATACCATATTGTCAGGCTGCCTTTGTCTTCTGAAAGAGACTGGAAAATTCCTTTCTGCAGTCATTTACAATTGTCCTTAAAAGTGAGATTCATCTTGTGTGGATCTGCAGTGATAGTTCAACAGTGAAGAAGGGCCTACGCCTTTCCTCAGAATGATTTGTCATTACAATCTGCTTTGATTTTCACCATTGTTCTTTGCTCCTGTGTGACTGACTTGCATGCTGTGGCTGTTTTGATTGAACTGAAACTCTGCAGATTTTCCAGGAACAGCTTTTACTTCCTTGCTCACTGTTTCAAGCTACTGCCAGGGCTGCTTGGCAGCAACTTTATATAAAAGCTATTAATTCATTCTCTTGTCTAGCTGCACTGTTAAATCATTATTTATACCTAAATCGTATTTTTTACTCAGAAAAATGCACACAAATTAAACAGAAAAGCAAATACATAAGGAAGCAATTGAGTACCTCACTGCACAATAGCTCATGGGAGAAAGTATACTGGCAAAGGGCAGCAGATGTGGGAAGGTCTCATGAAATATAGGAATTTTGTCTAACACATACATAAAAAATCTGAATTGACGTAAATTCAGATAGGAGCAGATAGGATTGAAGCTTCTTAAAGCCTCCTATGCCTCCTCAAAGTAAAGTTCGAGAACTGTTTATCTGCTGTCTCAGAGAAAGAGATAAAGGGCTGGCTTGCCTTTGCTGAATTTAGAATGAATTTGAATTTTCCAAGGAGCCTGCACATCAAAACTGATGCCTAGACCACAAAGAGACTCTTCCAGCCAGGGGAGATGACCCTTACAGACCTAACTGCAGTCAGTAATCTTAAACACAGCAGTAGAAAGCTGAAATACCATCTCCTGCTAAAAGAAAGAAGCAGCACAAGATTTTCACCTTTTGAAAAATCTTTTTCCTCTGGGTAAATTTTCCATTCTTGGAATTTGTAATAGTCGTGACAGATTTGGCCAATGGAAAGAGCACTTTTTGCAGAATGCTTATAAGCTATTGACTTATTTAAAAATGCTGGAGATTAAGTCAAGATGATTTCTTTAAAAGGGCTTAGTTCTAAGTGTAAGGTAAGGATCAGCTAGATAAAATCACCTAAAGATAACAAAACACTGTCAGTGAAATAGACAAAGATTGTTTTTCCCCTTGTATAATAATGTTAAAGACTGAAGATAAATAGATTTGAACATAGACTAAATGTTCTATGCCAAGGAAAGGTCCCAAGCCCAGGGCAGCAAGGCAGATACTGAGCTGTTAAATGAAGTACACATTGAGCAGATTTAAGTCGTGCAATCCAGAAGCAAAATGTTTGTTCAGAAACTCAGATGGTTCATTTTTATGCTAATCATTGTGCTTAACCATGTATGTCTTGATAGGCTATCTGCTTTTTCAGCAGAAGGGAGAGAGCAGAAAGATGAAGGCCTGCCATGCTACCCAAGAGCCTAATTTTGACCTTAAAGTTCCTGTTGCTAATAGGGTGCTGGCTGTGATAGGGTCCTTGGATGAAAACTGTTATCCTCAGGGACTTAAGACAAGACAGCTAAATTGCCTGAATTCCAGTCTTTCCTACTTGTTATCAGCAGCTGAGTCAAACTCCTTCCACATCATCTGCCTTTCTCCATTGCTCTAAGGAGCATCCTCCCCTTCTCCAAACTGCAGCCTCATTGCCTCCAGCCACTGGTACGGAGCTGCTCAGGGTTTCATGCCAGCGTCCTCTGGCCCCTCCAGTTGTGCTCTTTCTGTCTCCTCTGCACCCCGATTGCTTTTGGCAGGGAAGAAGGCTCAGCAGCAGAAGCAGGCACTATACCAGATTAGTCCCAGGGGATCTACAGCTGCTCAGAAATCCCTCTGGCCAGACAACGTTTTTGTCAATATTCTAGCAAGCACGAGGCCAGCTCAGGGGCCACCAGCTGTGTTTGTGGTCACTTTGTGGCCAGCCTGGCAATACCATGATATGCTTTTGTTAGAGTTGAGTTCTGGGACTCCAGTGTTGAATTGGAAATGGTTCCACCCTGTGACTAGTTAGGAAGGTTCTGAAACAGTTTACATGCCTATTCAGCATCTAAACACTACCAGGTTGGGCTAGGTCTCCATTTAGTGGAACTGGCACTAGAACAGAACTGTGCAAGCTGAGAACCCAGTCCTTTATTTGACCTTCTGATTGTTAATCAAATTAATCACTCAGTGGTAGATTTAACTCGGTTCTTCATGCCTGCATAGTGTCAGCCTGGTAGGAGGTTCTCCATTCTT